AGAAAATATAGAGGTCTTAAGAGAGATAAAGATAAAATAAATAAAATATAAATAACTTTTCCTCTACTATAGTAGTTTTAGCTATTAAAGTTATAAAACCCTTATTTTATATAAAGAGAGTAGTAATAAAATAAATAATTAGTACTCTATCTATTAATTAATATAATAATAAACTAATAACTTAATAACTTTAATAATAATTTTAATTTAAAGGGCGCTATATATATTAACTTTCTAGTAATTATTAAAAATATATAAAAGCTATAGTTAAGAGGAGTATTAAAGTTTTTTATAAATATTATTAAGTTTAGTATTAAAAATATTATTACTATATTGATTTTTAGTATTTACTTTTAAAAATAGACTAAATTATAGCTAATAAGTTTATAGATATAAACTTTATATTATACTTATAAGAAGTATTAATAGGGGAAAATATATAAAAAAGAGTAAAATCTTACTATAGCTCTCTAAAGTGATAAATATACTACTTATAGAGCTACTCTACTAAAAGCTTAATCGATTACTTAGATCGCGTAAGAAGAGTAGGATAAAGAGTTAAGGGATAAAGTAGTGTACTAAGACCAATATAAGAGAAATTCAAACAAATAACAGGCCACTCACACCCCAGGGTGGGGGGAGGGTGGTTGAGAGCCCAGCTCCCCCTCATCTTCGCCTGTTCTTCACATGGATCGCTCATATTGCCGTCCATCCCCTGAGTTCCCGCCCCATCAACGGCTGTCACCCGATTCTCCCTTGCATCTTTCCAACATGGCCGGACGGTCAGCATCCAAACCTCACATGCGTTCATCAAATCACTCAACCACCCGGCGATATTCATTCGTCTCTCTCTCTCCGCCTCTTGGTAACGGGGTCTCTTGCAAAAGTCCCGCCTTCCTCGGCCTCTCTCTCTCCATGTCCAAACTGCGTCCTACTTGTGGCTTTAGTCCCTCAATTTCAAAAGAGGCTGGCCCGGATGAGGACTTGGCTCCCCCCCCCCCCCCCTCTTCTCCCCTCCATCTCCACGAATCCAGTCCCCCGGTGACGCCCCTCGTCGGCTGCAACTGCACCTGCAGCGCCGCACAACATATTCATCCCACAGGCGCCTTCCCCATCTGCTTGCCGTGCATCCGTCTCTGCCCTATCCGTACCACTGAGCAAGGGAGCGTCCACATCCCACATCCTGAGGTCTGGATGTGGTGGTGGACTGGGACTGTAGGCTCCTTTCGCCAAGCCCTCGCGGATTGCTTTGGATGCTTCCAAGCCTTCTCCCAAGAGTCTTGGTCGATCTCTAGGCGGACAGCTGGTATCTCACAACAGCAAGGGCCGAGAGAGGCGGCTCGTGCCATCTGAACCTCACCTCACCTCACCCTCAGGCACATCAGGGACCAGTCAGACAGTCGAGAATAAAATGCGACGTCTGGTCCTGCCAATTGGTTCCCATCTTGGCACGGGCGGGCCTCGTCATCAAAACACCCCCATCCTGGCTCAGCTCTCTGCCAACTCGCCCGGTACAGACCCGTGAGCAGCTTGGTGGACTCATCCTGCTGCTCCCTGACGTTCCTTGTACGCGTTCCCTCTGATCTGCGGGTGTTGCCCCAAAGTTTGCCCGGGGCAGCGCAGGGCGACGAACAGCAACCCAATGTAAACGACGTGGCGCGGCGGTGGTCAATCAGCAGCATCCTTTTGAGAGTTGAGATAGACTGGTGGGGGTTGCACACTGCGTAGGTAGGTATCAGAAAAAAAAAAAAAAAAAAAAAAGCTGAGGTAATCCGACGTATCGGACACGAAACCTTTGGGAAGGCGCAAGTTGAACCGCGTACAGCAAGTACCTTCCCGTCACATTCCCAAGGGGCACGGGCCGCCGGCGATGCCCCGGCGATCCAAGCTTCGCCGCTACGACTATTAGCGCCTGCCTTACCTCGGTGCATCCATTCCCTGATGGCTAAAATGCTGATTGCTGACTGCTGCCTCGCGGTACTGTTCCAATTCCAACCCAAATCAAATCCATCCGACAATCACTCCTGAGCTCAGCCGAAATCATCCAATTCAATTGGACCCAACGCAGCCCAATACGGCGTGGCGGACGGGCTGGTGCTGATGCCGATGAGCAGCGAAATGAAACAAACCATCAAATTCGACGTCCATCCGAATCACGAAGGATCGGCCTTGTTTCTGCAGTCTGCAATGCCGCTCACCGTCGACCTACCGCTCTGGAGTCTGGCGCTCACCTCGATCCATCCTCCCGTATGCGGTACGCGACGGCGCCAAACAGCCACGGTCGACCCGCCTCCGCTCCATACTGACGAATTGCCAGCCATTTCGAGACAAATGAGACCCCCAACTTAATCAAGCCAAGCATTCCACGAGGCCTCCTACAAGGCAAAGCGAGACCCGTCATTCATTCCTACTCTGCGTGTAATCCAAGACCATCAGCCCTGTTATCCAATGCACATACCTGCCCGTCCACCACCACGGGGTGTGTCAGCCAGCGGCAGCGACAACCAGATCCAGAGTCATCCCAGGCCCCGTCTGGTGGTCCTTGTGGCTGTCGCCGGTTCAGCCCAGGGCTCCATTTATGACGCAAAACCTCACCAAACTTGATAGGGACCACGGCTATCGAGACCACACAGCTGCGACGGGCAAGGGCCAAGCCTCCAAGCTTCGGCCGGATATCCGCCCCGTGGAGCTATGGACGCTCCCGAGCACCCCGACTCCGAACTATCTGGGCTGCGACAGTCTCATCGTGCATTGGTTCATTGCCTTGCTCCATCCCATTTCGTGTGAAGTATGATGCTTTGCTAACTTTCGCGCTTGGTGTGGGTCGAGGCCCCTTGTACCACCTCTGGCTCAGCGCTCCCACGTTGGCATGGCTTTGATGAGGTCAAACTTCTCTAGTTTGCCGCTTAATCTAAGTCGCAGAACTCATACTAGGGCTACCAGTGTTGGCAACCGGTCACGAAACATGACGTCTCGTGGACGGTCTTGGCTGTGCTGTTCTCGGTACCAAACGCTCCTTGATACGATGACTATCCTGCTGGCGCCCGCTCCAACGGTCAAACCAGCGGGAAACATTGTCAATACCGCGGGTCAAACAACGGCCGCGTCGGCTCGTCCCGGTTTTGATATGGCTATTTCCAACTCTTTGGGATGATATCTGCGAATACATGATGAAACAACCTGGAGACTCGGTCAGCCATGTGTACAGCTTGACATGAGACAACCAAGGTGTTCTTTAAGTACAGTTGTGTGCCCTACACACTGTCTCTCGTCACGACACAGTCAACGATCGAGTCGTGATACCCCACGGCCGTCTAATCTGGCACTAAGTGTGTCTAGCTGTGAGTGAGGTTGTAGGGATGTAGGCATAACCGTGTGCACCCAACCATTGAGTGACCAAATTCGAAATCGACGCCCCATTAGGCGCGAGTCCAGGGGAAAAGAGATGTAGGGTTCCTCTTTCGAGTGAGTTTACCCGATCTCGTCTTTGAGTCTCCCCAGACTTGAGATGCCAAGCGCTTCATCCTTCTTCCGTCTTGACTATGTCCCCATCGTCTTTCTGTATCTACCAGAACTTACCAGAACTTTTCCGTGTCAACTGATGTCTCTCCCCTTGGGTCATGCCAAAGCGGTTCTGATTGTTGCGTAAAGTTAGCTGGTTACAAACGTCAAAACGCACTGGCTTCTTTGATTGGCAAGCGAACGAAAGCTCGCGGAGTTCACAGTGCCGTCTGCGCGATCATCCTGTTGTAACTTGAACAACTCCCTGGATCTGTCTTCCAACGTCCCTTCGCCCAGTACCGTTGTAAAGATGGCCGCAGCCGAGGTCGAGCTCTGGAGGCTTCCCTTGTGGCATGGCCAGGACCAACACGCGTCTCAAATTCCGGGTGTCGTGGGCCTATCACACGCAGTCAAAGATGATGATGGGCCTAGTATTTAAGCAGAGGCTTCGTAGTAACTTATTTGCTACGCAAATTTTATTTGTCTGCGCATTAAATAAGTCAAAACTCAAGTATGTGTCGCAGTAGATGTCAGCCGTGAGGAGCTGCGGTAGATATGTCGCACGTAGGTACTGGAGACGTAACGACAGCCCCTTGGCATTTGTATCAGCATGTGAACACGATGGCATAGTTGCTAGCACTGGGCCTTTCAGCTCCAGCCTCCCTGGTAAATATTTAGACCTAGACTCCCTGGGAATGTAGAGCTCAGGTAACCCCTTTCTCGAGATAATCTTTGCTTTTCGGGAATGCTGTCGACCAGCACCTCACTTCTTGGCTCTCTCCAGGTCGTCAGTTGCGGGTTACCTACGTTTGCCATACTACGGCAACTACATTTCCTGTAGACTCCTTTATACCCTCTGCCACCATTGTCAGTTGCTGCTTCTTTCTTACGCGTATTCTTCAAGTCATCATTCATGTAACATGCTTGACAAGTAGGCATCACTAGTGTATTAACATTGAAATCACTAAGCGATGCTTCCGAGGACGGAGGACAAGATTTTCATGGGAAAGCGTAAGTTCTGCGATGCTAACGATTGTTCATGGAAACTTTGCACTGAGGTTCAGATCATGATTAGAAACAACACCCTTCCCAAAAAAGAACATGAATTAAAAGGGGAAGGCCGAAAAAAAGTCTCAAATGTCAAAGAATTCAGTTGAACCCTTAAACTCCAACGATCAGATAATGAATTACCAGGGCGCTACGATTGCGCTGACCTGACCACTGGGCCATTTTGCTCTTCTCGCCGGTTGAGAGCAAAGAAGCAGGAGCATACTTGTGTAGGCTGCCACCTGGGGCTACCACAAGGCCCAACAACAGGAAAGAGACACCGGCAAGCGCAGCTCAAAAGTCCGTTGGCAAGCACCTACCCTCACAATATCGACCGTCAAAGTCACTTCAATGTTATAGATACTGACAACTGTCTAAAACTTTGTACAAGAAGCGTCTCCAAGATACGCATGAACAATCCTCAACTTTCACCACTTGGTTCTTATCCCCTCTTACATGGCCATCCTCTTCTTCATATCAACCCTTCTCTTGGCCATCTGCTTGACGCTCTCCGCATAATCGTTCGTGCCGTTGTTGGGGTCCGCATCGGTAGCCTTGTCCTTGCACTTGGAGCCCGCCTTAGCCTTGCCGTTCGGCCCGTCGACGGCCTGCCACTTCCTCTTCTCCGTCAGCGCGGTGACCATGGTCTGGGCCGCCTCCTCCAGCCAGCCGTTGATGAAGTCGCCGTGGAAGCAGTGGCTCGGCCCGCACGCGAGCTCCAGGGGCGGCGCGCCCTTCCAGCCGTCGGGGATGGCCTTCTTGGTGTCGTAGCGGATGCTGAAGCGCAGCTGCGGCATGCGCTTCATGCCGTCGGCACAGGTGCCCTTGTTCGAGTACGCGCTCTTAAGCGTGGTCGTGTCGACGCAGTCCGGGAACCAGAGGACCGACTGCAGCGAGGTGGAGCAGGTGCTCTGCGGGAAGTCCGAGTTCTTCTTGCCGCCGGCGTCGAAGTCCTGGTTCTGGCAGAGCCAGGCGACGTCGGAGCCTTCGATGAGGTCGTCCACGGTCTTGGCCTGGGCGTTGCCGGCGACGACATTGAAGTTGGGCGGGATCGCGACCTCGGCCGGGTCCTTGTCGAAGTTGTAGTAGGCCGTGAAAGCGACGGGCTCGATGGGGGTGCGCTTGTCGCCCTCGACGTGGTAGAGAGTCGGGATCCCTGTTTCTGGTGTAAGTGGCCAACTTTTCAAACTTGTTGAACATATTCCATGGGGATGGGACACTTACAGTAAACGGACAGGTCGTTGGGGTTCTGGGCAGTGGCGCAGCCCTGTTGGAGTTCCGCCGTGGTGCTCAGGTTGACGTTCACGGCATCGCTACCGAAGAAGCTGTGCATGTGGCTCTTGTACTGGCCCGGGATAACGATGGGATCGATGTTCTTGCGCATGAAGAAGTCGACCTTTGTGTTCGTAAAGGCGCTCGCCAGGCCGGCGGTGGCCAGAAGTATGGACGATGAGTGGTACATCTTTGACTTTGGTAAGTTGTAACGAGCGACGGGTCTTGTTCAAGCAACGAAGGTGAAGACCGCAAAGAAGAAGAAGTAGAAAAGAGCTACTACGTTCCTCTCCAGCGGACGTAGGTTGCTAAATTTGAATGGGATGGTGAAAGAAAGTTAACGACGAAACAGGCATGGCAGGATGAACGATACGTGTGGCTTTAAATGTGAGTCTATCTGACTTTGACATCTCGTAGGAGGTTGATGATCTGTACATACCTGTCTTGACAGGTGGGTTAGTTAGGGCGTTCCCAGCAGGGCGCTTCCCCAATGGAGAAGGGAAGGCATTCAGGTGGTCTTGGCGTTGTTTGAAGCATATCGTTGTTAACCGCTGTCGTTCCCCACGTTTTAATGTACACCAGATGCCCCTCTGTCGCCTATAGATTTGACAGAGCCCCCCTTGCGGCTGAGAACACCGGCAGCAGCTGCCTACTTCACATAAGCGTAAAGGCCGAGGTGGACAACAGAGGGCACAGTGCCCATGCAAGTCGACCGCATTGGGAAACCTATTCGGGGATATTGGATCTTGGGATTTCGGAGTGGCTCCCGATTAGATCTCTGCCCAGATCCCAAAAGGTTTCACTACAACCCCGTCCCTGGTCCTGATCCTGCGTTTTTGTATTGGTTCCCCTGAAACCTGGGACTCTGCATTGCCATCCAACAGAACTGCGGTTTTTTTTTCGTTTTTGAAGAGACGTCAGAGACGGGACGAACTCATCGACACCTTGTTCGGTGTGGAGCGGTACGATGATCATTCCCACATTTTTCCCACCCAAGATTGTTGGCGGCCGTTTGCTGTCAACTGCGAGCTGAAACAAAGGGGCAGCGTGGGAGCCCGTACGGGCAGCGTACCCGGGTCGCGATCTAATCTGTGTGAGGTAAATCGATTCTTGGCTGGCAGAATACGAACCCGAGGCCGGCGCCTAGGTGGATGAGCGGCAAAGACTTTTCTCCTTCCGCGGATGCCATTGACAGAATTGGGGGCCGACCGTCTGTAATGGGGTTCACTGGAAAATGGCAAAGTGTAAAGACATGAGTAGAAATCATGCAATCCAAGGGCTGGGTAAAACTTAGATATTTCATACACCTGCTAGTCACAATTCACAACTGGATGCTGGTATTGAGGTAAGGTGTAACAGTAAGCAATTTTTCTTTCCTCTAACCTAGATCTGTTTAACCGTCTTCTGGTGTAGTATCTTCTGATTTAATGTCCAACCTGTCCCAACCAAGCGCCAGCCCAACCGAATCCCATCAAATCGCTCGCTATGCATTCCCTCGTATACATGGACACCTATAAAATTCCCAAAGCCGAAAGAAGACTGCCATTCTAGGCCAAGACGGGAGCGACCATGGTCTTCTCGATGCTGGGGGACATGACGCTGAAGACGTTGGGCCACAGGAACATCTTCTCCTCCGCAGGCGACATGGCGACCATGCGAGGGATGGCAGACTTGCTGGACATGCGGCGCCACATGTTGGCACGGGGGTTGAAGGCCGCGGGCATACCCTTGCCGCCGGTCTTCTTCTCGTCCTCCTCTCTGATTCGCTCAATCTCCTTCTGGATGTCGGCGAAGGTATCAAAGGGGATGTAGGAGATGTCGTTCTCGACGCAGTACTCCTCCAATCTCAGACCCCTGCGGGCGAAAAGGACGTCGGCCTGGCGCGCGGCGGGCAAGTCCGAGACGCCGTCGCCGATGAAGACGATGAGGGGGATGCTGCCGTCTTCACACTCCATCTCAGCCTCCTTGCGGGCAACCCCCATGGAGAGAGCCTTGTCATGACCGAGCTCGTTGTCGTGAAGCCAGATTGGCTTCCAAGCGGTTCCATCCTCAGTGATCTCGGCCTCGTTGGCGACGATATCGATGTGAGCAGACTCCTCCTCGCCGAGGAAAGTGTCGAGAACCCTTCTCAGGATGGGCTTGAGTCCGGCGGAGATGACGTTGAAGGGGATCGAGTTGCTGATGCAGAACTTGTGGAACTCTTGGAAGGCAGGATCGATCTCGAGGGTCTTCTCCATCACTTCGAAGCCGTCGTCGAAGGGGACGTTGAGGGAACCCCACATCTCCTCGGAGACATCGCGGAACGACCGTTCGCCGGTCTTGATCTGCTCGTCGAGAACCTCGCGCTGCTTGGAACCGCAGCCATGGTTGTCGAAGAGGATGTGGCCAGTGTCCTGCATGAAGATGGTTCCATCGAAGTCTAGATCACTGTTAGCGGCGTGGCGAAGACCCACGTCGGGGTTGTCGATCGTTCGTACCTGAGAAACAGATGATCTTGCGCTTCTTGTTCTCAGCAAGAGGAAGACCGCCGTTGGCAACGACCATGGCTTCGGGGGGAGTGAGTGCGATAGGCATGTTGGCGGTGGTGTATATCTGTGTATGACAGGTTTGATGCGTGTAGGTCGGCAGTGATTTTTCGTCTTCAGGCTTTACAGTCTCGTGTTTTCAGAGAAGTCGAATGCTAACGAATAAAGTTGTCACGAACAGGTTTCAACGGGATGGTGTCCGACTTTATAGAAGTCAATGCCCACACGATGTCGCCGAACTCTCGACCGACCCGCGAGCGGTAGCGGCGATAAAGCGCGCACAGCCCATCCATCCTCCACGATCACGGGCTAAGAGTAGATTCCACCATCGTGTTCCCCCGCGGACACGGTGGGCACGTCACGGCGCGCCATGCTGCATGAGGACAACGAGCATGGGCGGCCTGGCGAAGAGAAAGCCAGGCCAGAAGCCGCTTCCGGGATGCTAAAGAGAAATGGCACGCCGTCGCGGACGGCGGCGCAACGGGCGTACCGCAGACTGGGCATGCTACTACGATGACGGCGTCTTACAGGGCCCGTAGCATCTGGCTTTCTTTTTGATTTTTCCAAACCATGCCCAATCGGGGGCTCTAGCGCGGCGATGGCTGACTGGGATGACTGGAAGACTCTGGTCTTTTGTCGGTGGATGAACGGGAGCGCAGCCACGCTCCCACCATCACGGGAAGCGGCCGGCAGTGTTCCTGACAAATCGGCCGGGTTGATGAAGTGGCAGACTGCCACTCGGACGAGAGCCTCCAGCCTTCTCAGCCTCTCTTTCCACTCGCCGAGTTTTGCAGAGCCGCTGCTGATCGGCATGCCGTTCCCTCCAATGTCGCGCCCGGGAACAGGAATGGACGTGTTCTCGACCAACTCCTGTTTTCCTACAGATAAGCATCAGAGACAAGCGAAAAGACAAAACTGTTTCCGATCCGGTACGCAGCTACTCGCTGGTGCAGAATTTCGATACTTCGGACAGCGGCCCCTCCGTCTCTCTCTACAGGGGATCGGGAGGCGAGGTGATACATCCGTCCGAAAGTCGAGCGAACAGAACATTCCAGCCCCGGCGAACAGCCAAGCCCCGGCCGCATCCAAACTGCGCTGAACCATCGACATGGGGCTGACGACACAATGTTGCCGAAGGCGGTAGGTATTCCCACCCCCTGCTTAAGTTGGCTGAGTGAGCGAGAAGCAAGAGGGAGTATTGGATTACAAAAGTCAAACGAACATTGATGCCGGTAGCAATGTGCATGTAGTGTAGCCATCGGGAGCCTGGTCGTCCATGACGCGCACAACAGTCAAGGCACTAACACTTTGAAAATTTACCCATGATTTCCCACATCGGAAAGGCGCTTTGAACATGTGCCTTTTGGTTGGACAGCGGGGAATTGCAGAAATCAAAGACTCGAAGCTATGATGTCATTCTGTCCTTGGTGGGGCTTTTTCACGCCTACCTTTACCTGCATCGTGCTGCAGTTCGCCTGTACTCAACCTCCTCCACGAAGCAGAACACTAGCTAGGTTACTCCGCTGTCTCTGCAGGCTGGACTGCGTTGTCAGCATCTTCGTTCTGCACTCCAGCCTGTCTAGACACAGTCCGTGGAGTCCTGCATATGCATTGTGAAAGGGGCTTGAGGCCCAGATCGAAACAAGCGAGGTCGGGGATGCTGGGGCGGCAGGGAGAACTTCTGTCGAATCGTCGAATCCTAGACTCCGTCCCATTTGCAGTGGGCCGCGCTTCCAATTCACCCGGCCTACCTACGGCTCTACAGAGAGCCCGTCTCGAAAATGCAACTGCAACTGCAACTCCATGCGCAGCACCCTCCAACTGTTAGATTCCGTGCCGCCATGGCGGTGAGGCACAACATGCCTGTCGTGTCGTGGTGCCTTGGCCACCTCCGCTCACCATCGTGAGGGGTCCTTATCGTTACCTTCACCTGCGTCCACTCCTCATTTGGCTTCATGTTCAGTCTTGGTTATCAATGGCAACTTGCACTGGGCGATGACGACAGAGGCTGCTTGAACCTTTTAGAAATTAGCATGTGCGCTCGATAGGGTCCCGAGAATTATCCAATCTCCTCACGATGTGACGGAGCATCATCATTCATCGCTGGCTTGCGTGTACAATGCCCTTGGCATCGAGAAGAGACACTGGGCACTGAGCATCTTCGGACGTCTCTCCACAGCACTAACAACCAGCCAGTCAGACGGAATATCGTATTGTGCGATGCAAAAAGATAGTGGCGAATTCAAAGTTCCCTTTGTCGCCCTAGCTCGCACCCACCGGAAATTCCACTCCGCGGAGGAAAACATTAGACCACAAAGCCCCGTCTGAGAGTACTGCAGGTAAGACCTAGCCAACCACTCTCACAACTCTTGACGGTTGCCAGAAGCCTAAGCCCTGCTTGCCCTGACTCAGGAGGAAGAGGCCATGCAGAGAGCGCTTGGTACTAGTGAGGAAATGGAAGGCCATGATGTCAATCATCCTCCTACAAGACGCCGGGCCGTCACTTCGGGCGGCTTCGGTAGACCCGACCTTCACAAGCCGGCCGCGCTACCATGCCCGGGGCCAGACCATGCACTCTCCGGGGCCAACAGTTGTCTAGACCAGAACGACAAACATCGGCCCCTTCGAGGCCTGCCGATCGCTGGCGGGTCGCGCGCCTCTAGCCGAGAGCGAATTTTGGAATACCGAGTAGAACGGGATGGGTATCTTCAAGCGGAAAGTAGTAATTCGGGTGGTCTCGTTGCGCTTTTCCGAGCCGATGTATCCATTTGAGTTCCTCTAAACCGTACGCCTAACATTATGCCTCATCAGCAGTACATCAAACCACAGCCTATGCTGACACCTTGGCGCTGTACTTGGTTGCCGCCTTGTCGAACAACGCGCTCTTTTCCTCCAAATCCACAAGGAACTGGTGCTGGGGATCCGCTGCCTTGAGCTTCCTGTGTTCAAGTGGTTAGCAACTCGGCCTCATAGCCTCGGACAGGGGCGGCACTTACTCCGTGAACTCCTTGGGATCTTTGCCAGAGATCACTGTCAACACAAGCAGGTTGGCAATGGCCTCGGCGTAGTTGGGGTTCTTCGAGACAGCCTGGTCCAGGGCAGACTGTGCCTCCTCTGCACGTCCGAGGTGCAGCTCAGCAACAGCCTGGGACACCAGCGTCGCGATCGAAGATGTTGCTGGCGCCTGCGCAAGCTCCTCGAACACGTAGAAAGCCTGTTGGTACTTGTCTCCGCCCTATCACATTTTAGCACAGTATCTCCGTTTGAGGTATGGATATCGTACCTGTCGCAGACCAACCCACGACTCAGCCAGGTTAACCAGCAAGCTATCCTGGGCCCATCTCCTGGCGGCGGTGACCTCCTTCAGGGCGAGGTCGTTTCGGTTCTGCTGGAGGTGGATCTGGACAATCAAAGCAACGGCGTCAACTGCATAACATAGGTTAGCTGGAGTCAACCTAAGCCACGCATTCATAACTTACGGCTGCCCTGGTGCTGCGACAACAGCGCAAGAGCCTCCTCTGACTTTCCTGCCGCCTGCAAGACGGTACCTCCAACAATCTGGACTGTGACATTCTCTCCCTCGGACGCGGCGAGCTTCTCGATCGTCTTCACTGCAGACTCCGCCTTTCCCAACGCACTCTCGGCCAGAGCACCAATTGCAACCAGCTCGGGCTCCTTCTCTCCCTGGACGTCGGCGATGACATCTTCGGCTTGGCCCAGAGCAACGCGGGCGCGGAGGACTAGGACTCGGGCAGGAAGCTCATTCTCGGGAGAAAGGGCGGAGGTGTCGTAATCGATGACCTCTTGGTATTGACCCTGATGGAAGTGGTTGTGAATGTTGATCAATTCGCCTTCGGCAGAGTAGGGGTCCATGTTGGCGGTTGTGTTGAGGTCGGATGCTCGTCGTTGATGTCGGACGCCAAATGCTAGACAGCTGCGACGTGTTCCCCTTGGCTACTCACTGATGTGGGGGACTCTCGAGCAACGTGGAACCCTGAGAAGGCACGGAGGATGCCGCTGCCGGGATGGTGGGTCTTTGGTATGGTCCGTGCACCGCATTGCTGAGCTTAGGAAAGAGCGATGCCAACAACACCATTGATTCAAACACCACCACGACCCACGATCTTTCTGCAGCCTTTCAGCATGACACTCCCGTTCATGACATTTCCCGGAACTCAACGCTGGAATCTCATCCAGTGCCCCTAAATTAAGCACCAGATTGCGATTCGTGATGCTTGCGCTCTCATTACCATTTGATGCTCCTCCTATCTCGGGCTTGCAATGTCACTCGGTCAAGTGGCCTAATGTTGAAGACCATGAATATTTGTTGCTCATATCAAATCTGTCGGTTTTTTTTTTTTTCGTTTTTTTTCTTCATGAAAACCCACGGCGCAATTAACAACATTTGGTGCTTGTGGTTTGGGCCATTATGAACGGAGTTCTCACCACCTGGTAGAAGGATGCTCGAAGGCTGGGTTTATAACCCCTACTGGTTAGTCCAAGTTGAATAGCTCATTGCAACTTGCAAAAACCCATTTGAAAAGCTCTTTGGCTTGATCTTCAGTTGCCCACATAACCAGGATTTCTATCAGGTTTGCCTTGCTGAGATCATCGCATCCCTCCCTAGCCTCCCTCCTCTTGGTTCTCATAGATAGATCCAGTAGTTGCCAATCATGAGCCCCCTTAGTATCCGTCTGCTGAGTGGTCTAGTGCAGAGATCTTTCAAAGTTGAAAGGTGCATGGGAAGGTGCTCCTTCTTGCGCCTACTCCTTCTGGCTTTCACATTTTCTCACGCCCACCTTAGAGAAACCACAACAACAAAAGCCACTCTCGATTTGCACAAACCCATCTCTCCCAAGGGTTGTGAAAATCCCCTCACGCCCCTTGCTTTGCCGCGAATTTCTCTCTTCTCCCCCTCCTCATCATTGCTATTACAGTTACCAAGCGTGCTACTATTTTTGCAGCGTCACTCACACAGTCTCTCGTTGCTGTGAGTATCCTCCCTGAACTCATCTTGTTATCTCACTAACGCAGCTCATCTCAGTTACTCATTCCATAAGCGCGTCTAGCACCCGCATACTTATCACCGTGGCGATGAACTGGATGACTCCCCACGAAGCGTCCCTGCAGAAGCTTCCGGCTGAAGCTGATGCTGAAGCGGAGACCAGCGTCCTCGATAGGAAGCGCCCAATTCCTCGATTTCCTGATAGCTTTTCTGCCAACCTGGGCCGCAAAGTTTCCTCGCCCTCCTCTCCCCAGGAAATCTCTGCATCTGCAACTCATCGCACCCTTCCCTCTCCTCTCCCAGAGAGCCAGAGTGTCATCAATCGCAAGCGAGACGTTGTCGCTGGCATAGCACCTCCGCTTCCTACAACTCCTCTGCCCACCTCACGCAATCGACAAGTTTCTGCTGCCTCCTCAGTCAAGGCCATGGTAGCGAAGTTTGAGGGCGGTGGCTGCGACGACGCTCCTGACAAATTCGACACAATGGCAGATTCGATGAACGACGCGCCATCCTCGCCCATCGACAGCATCAAGACAAAGGCATCTGTCGATGATTCAATCAATACGGTCAGCTCTACGCTTGCTCCTAGCTCAACCTCTCGCGCAGGCGTTCCCAAGACCCAGACCATCGAAGAGGGTGAATTGGAGCTGCTCAAGATGCAGGAGTTCTACAAAACCGAGCCTCTCCCTCGTTGCTTGGATAACTATGTCCCTCCTAAGCGAAGCAAGGAGAAGGTGAAGGTTCTTCCTACTGAACAGGATGAAGGTGCTTCAATGCTGAAGGCGGCTAAGCTCGAGCTGCATAACACGCTCGCCAAGTCTCACGAGGCCTACGAGGAGCGCCACCCATCCGCCAAGGAGGAACGTCTGCAGCGTGAGGCAGCTGAGGCATTCAAGAAGCGAGAGCCGTCCAAGAACAATGTCTCGAGCAGCACACCATCTGAGGCTAGCACCAAGTCCTCTCGTCGCGCCAAAAAGAAGGCTCTGCAGAAGGCCCAGAAGAAGGCAGAGAAGGTGGCAAAGCGCGAGGGCATCGATCCCATCGACCCGAAGCCTTCGTCTTCGACTACCACGCAGCCTCCCCAAAAAGAATGGACGCTGCGAGGCCAGTATCCCGAGACGTTCGCCAAGATCGACTATTGGCGGTCTCTACCTGATCCCGATGCGCCGCAGTCATCTTCTGCTACCCAGACACCCGGCCTGGTCAATCAGTCTATCTCTAGCAAGGATCGGGCCCCTCGCTACGGCGCAGTTTCTCACGCGACTTCTCACGACGATAGCCTCGCCAGCTCTTCCTCGTCCTCCGCCACCTTGGTCCCTTCGCAGAACCAGTCGATCTCGGTCACGCCTGCTGACAGTCACTCGTCCGACAGTGATAGCACCGACTACGATCAGGACAACACCTCCCATACTATCAATGAGTCCGATGAAGCAGCCATTCCGTCTTCCCAGGGTGCCAATAAGCCGATGAGCCAGCTCTTCACTCAGAAGGTCGGCGCCGTGGTGAACAAAGACAGCGAAGCCGGCAACGGTGGAGAGGCATTCCCGTTCATCCAGAGAAACCCGGAGGAAGTTGCTGCGTTCTAGGGCGGCGTGCGCAACTACCTCCACATCTCAGATGACGAGCTCTCTGACGGTGAATCTGCGAAGGTCACAAAGGCCGTCGCGAAGCAGAAGGAGAAGAGAGACGCTGATCGCCGCGCTCATGAAGCCGTCAACGCTGCTCATGCCGCGGGCCGCATTGTTCATCTCGAGAATACCAAGTCAATCCGCGACCAGATCTCGACTAATGTGAAGAAGTCCGACATCAAGCCCGGCTTTGGCAAGAAGGCTCAGCCTGTTCCTGCTTTCGACGAAATGGCTTACAGTGCCGACTCCATTGCCTGCCACACCTTGAAGCCGGCTCCCCTTCGGATTCCGTCGCGCACGAAGCAGCCTTCCGTCGAGGGCTCCGAGAAGAAGGAAAGGGACACTCCTCGTACGCCGGCTCCTCAGCTCCCCGGCGAGCTCAAGGTGAACAAGGGCAAGCATCGCGTGGAAAATGTGCTTTCTGAGGCTCCTGGAATTGATGTTAGCGAGACTGGTATTCAGAACAACCGCAACCAAAGTGCGTCTTCCGCCCGTCAGAAGACTGGCTCCATCAACTTCAGCCGGCCCCAGAACAAGAATACCCAGAACCAGAAGCAGTCTGACGCTCCTTCCAACAAGTCGTCTTCTCCCGCCGGTGGTAAGAAGAACAAAGCTTCTGCTCGCGACAAGCGCGGGAAGAAGTCGGCCTCTAGCGCTTCAGAGAAGGAGACTCAGCCCGGCGGCGGCGGTTATCAGGGACCTTCCAGAGATGAGCTCAATAGCTTCTTTGGCACGAAGAACCAGCCTGGCCCGGTTGATGCCTGGCTCAAGGAGGCTGCATATCGTCAGAAGCGCAAGGAGGTTGAGGTCGCTGTCGCGGCCGCCAAGGCTGCGCAAGCTGCGCAGGCTTCGCAGGCTTCTCAACCCGCTCAAGTATCCCGGCCTACTGCTCAAACTTCTCATGCCGCTCAGAACTCAGACCGCCAGAGCTTTACTGCTGGCGACTACCAGGACCTGATCCAGGATGACTACAATGACCTGATCCGAGAGTCCCCTGAGAAGAAGCAGGCTACTCACACGCAGGGAGGCTCCTCTCGCGTCGTCTCTCAGACCGTTGACTTCAACGGCCAGTACCCCCAGACTCAGCAGCTCGCCGGAGCTCGTCACCATGGTGGTGGACCAGCGCTCCCGCCCACCCCAGCTTCTGCCTACCGGCCCCGCGTTGCCGCCGCCAAGACGACGGACGAGATGATGGGCGAACTTGACGATTTCTTCGCCGAGGAGAACGATCACCTATACCAGAAGCCCGGCCGCGCCTCGACTTCCACCGCTGGCTCTTCTAAGCAGCAAGAGCCCTGGGACGATCCTGCCTACAACGAGGAGGCTCTGCAGTACGGCTACGCCTACATTCAGAACAACCACACCCCTCTGCCCGAAAACTTCGAGCCCGTCCCTCTGACCCGTGAGCAGCGCCGCCAGGTTCTGGCCGCCAACAGCATCGCCGAGGCCGACTACCCCGCCCCTCCCGCCGGCTACCCTACTCCGGCTGGCCCTGCCGATGGCGAGAACACGCCTCCCTGCCCGACCCGCCCCCCTCCTTCCGTCCCTGCTCCTGGCACCGGCACTGGCGGAGGTACTGGCCAAGGACGCCAGAGAGGCAGCGGTGAGCAGGTCCAGAGCCTCCGTCGCGCCCCTCGTCGCTTCCAGCGTGCCGCGACTGCCCCTACCTCCGCTCCCAAGAGCCCTGCTCCCGGCTACGACGACGACTGGTTCTAAATCACTCGACGATACTCTTTGTCTTCTCGCTCATCTTGCTCTTTTGCAGTCTTAACAACAGGCACACAGATATTGGCTCTCATGCACCGTTTTGGCCGATTGGAATGGCAATCTTATACGACGACAAGGATTGCGAGTCTACTTGGTATGGAAGTCTTCGAGTAATTGCACCTGGAATGGATCAGGGATGGAAAGGAAACGATAGGAAGGAAGGCCTTGGACTTTTTCTCTTGCATTTGTTGTTGGGTTACCAAAATAACTGGTCTTTTGTGGATTGACCTTTCGTTTGGGCAGGCATTTTTTTGATATGCTTGCGCTTGTAACGCGAGGACGGCTACGGAAAAGCAATAGGTAGTTCGGTAAAGGAAAAGGCAGCAACAGCTCTATACTCTACTCTACAATGCGGTGTTGTGGTTTAGCGACATGGTGATCCGTCTTCGCCTCTGAGCGGTTTGTGAGCCATCAGTGAGTGCGGCAAGACCGTACAGCACCCACATAAGTCGCACCCGGAAGATAAACATGGACATCAATAGGGCATATCTGTCATCCGTGAGCTGATTTGCACAGTGTACCATACACCTCGCGGGCTCAGAGTTCAGTTGTGGCTGGTCTAGCCACGAAGGTCCCCAGCACCAATCTTGCAGCGCACACAATCAATCACTTTTTCAGACAGCCAAGGCTTAGGAAATTGGTTGATTATCATCCACTATTCATGGCATGCGTACCCGCCGTCTTGGGGTATAGGAGGCTCCTTTTGCCGACTCCAGTCGTCGGCTTTTTTGCCTCAGGGCACATCAAGACTCCTCTTCCAAAACTTCCAAAAAGCCCCCTCCATCCCTACCTACTCCTGCGTATGTACAGCCCCATCCTGTGCTGCCACTCGAGCCCGCCACCTCTGATGGGGTCTGAACTCAGTGACTGGAAGGCAAGGGAAAGCTAAAAACAAAGGGAATAGCCTGTGTGTGTGAAAAATTATCCGCTTGTATGTCCAGTGTCCACGGCCCTCGTTGCTGGATCTCTCTCGACTCTCTTCAAGCAGTCCCAAATACGCCGCCCCTATGCGGATTCGTGTCCCTCATACATGACAAAGGTATATATAGAAAGTTGCATGGTACAAGAAACGAAGGAAAAGGGAACCCAATTAAGCGCTGTGAACGACCTCACCACAATCAACATCCTCAAGCACTTTGTGGTGGTGCTCCAGCCACGCCGTTATTCTCCTGGTCAAAGGCCAACTTCCTTGCACTTGCCGGCTCAACCTTGAAGGTCGGCTTCTCCAGACCTGAAACTCCACTATCAGTCTCACCAAATGTGATGCCCAGGACGTCTGGATTCTTCTTCGCCTCCAGTCGCTTCCTCTCCTCTTCCGCATCGTTGAGATTCATCAGTGCGGGCGGACGGTGGCGCTGTTGCTGAGCCTTGGCCAAGGAAATCGTCTTCTGTTGATACGTCGTTGTTATCGCCTGGGTATCATCTCGGTCGATCGTGGCCTTCATGAGGGCAGCCATCCACAGCCTGCCTTGCTTGAGGTTGGGGACAGCAAAGTAGTGGACGGTTGGCTTAGTGAAGTTGACAGCACGGGAGAGGCCTGCGCGCGGTGGGACAAGCTTGAAGATGAACATGGCGTCGTCGCCCTTCTCCACTGAGGAATCGTTGTGTGCCGCAGCGCCAGCACCAGTGAGTGTGGCATGGAGTCCAGTCAGTCGCTCGTTGTCAGCCGGGAGTACACGGTGGAAGGAGATGTCGATGAGGCCCTTCTCCTGGTCATCGTTCTCTGAGTAGTAGTAGGCCAGGCGACGTCCCTTGAGGACGAACAGTCTGGGTTTCCAGGTCGTCATGAGGTTAGAACTCTTCTTGCGCATCCAGCCACTGTAATCTGCTTCTTTCACAGCCTCTGCAGGGCTGACCTTTTGCAGACCACGTTGGTAGGCACTGGTCTCCTTCTTGCCCTTCTTCCTGCTGCCCTTGCTTGCGATGGTGGTCGCGGTGCTCGGGCTCTTCGCAGCATCCGGAGAATCCAGCTCGAAGCTTGGCCCAGCTGAAGGAGTACTCGATCCGGTTCTAGCGGGCGAGTGCATAGGCGAGTCCGCCTTCAGAGGAGAGTCGACAGAGGATGTGATGACAGGGGAAGGGGAGGACATTTTGTTGCGGTCTCCAGAAACCGAATCGGAGATGGCACGGAGCCCAGTGACCTTCACGGAAGGCTTGACGACGGCAGACAACCATTCCGCATGAATGCCTTGGCGTGCTGCTGGAGACATTGGCGCTGGCGATTCGCGGGTCTTCGAGGTGGCGCCGTCGAGCTTGGTGACGCTAGGGGCTCCTGTGTCCTTAACCGGAGGTGCAGGACGGGCTGATTGAGTGGTGCTGGTCGAGGCAGTCCTCCTGTGGCTGTTGGACTGCAAACCGTAATACTTCTGGGCGGCTGGCGAAGCGACGGAGTCGCGGGTTGAGTCGATGCTGCCGAATCTAGAGTGTCTCGAGATGGCAGTTGCGCTGCGGACTCGTTGCTCGTCGGCGTAGCTGTGTTTCCTGGCGTGGCTGGCCGTGCTGTCACGCTTCTTAAGTACGTTTCGGCGTCGGCCGTCAACATCAGTGCCGCTGAAGTATCCGCGATCGGTGTCGAGATTAGAATCCGGGGCATGGAGACCAGACTGCTGCATAACGTCTTGGAAACCAGTGGAGGAAAGCGGTCTCTGGGAAGCACTGCCGAGGGTCCAGTTCCTGTCGAATGAAGGCTGCTTCTTATGGGCCCCATCTGCTGCCTGAGGAAACGTCCCGCTCGTGGCTAACTTGGGTGTTACGGCATTGCCCATTGTCGTTCCTGTCAAACGGAAGTCGGTCGATGATGAGTGTCGGCGGGAGTGATGCAAATCCCTGACGGAGGCAGCCGAAGGTCGTTTCATGTGCGAAGGCCGCGTAGGGCTATCAGCAATGGGTGATACCGGTGATACCAGAGAGGTGTCCAACTTGGGCGTTTGGGAGAAGGACAACCGTTTGCTACTCAGTGACATGGACCTGTCGTCAACCGGTGTCATCCTGGGCATGGAGTTCGTCAGGGTATCCGCCCGACTCCGCGAACGCTTGGCATCTTCCGAACCGATCTCGCTACCGTAAGTCTGCGTCGTGCGTCTAGTGGCGACCCCGATATTGTTGCACTCGTCTTGAAGACTCTTAATCTTCTGCCACGTCTTGAGTCTCCTTCCGACAGAACCCAGCTCGAAGGCCTTGATGAACAGGGAGCTCTGGTCCATGCCCAAAAGGACTTCGCCGGAGATCTCCTGGTCTCGGAACACCTCGCAATGCGACTTCTCGACACCGACTGTGAATAGGTATTCGGCGACCTCGTCAGCCGACCAAGCCTCAACTTCCGACCGGCTGTGCATGCCCTCCTCCTCCTCGTCGGTCTCCTCACCATGGATGTATGATAAACGGTGGTCGATAGTGGCACTGTATTCGCTTCCAGAATCAGTTGGAGGGGCGCGCATTCCACCGTTACTGGGCTTGGAGCGTAGATCGGTGATGTGCTCCTCGATGACATTAAGCGTCTCGTTCAAAACATGGTCTTGGTTCGTATTCAAACGGCCGAGGGAGGCTGACGGCGGATGGGCCACAGGTGGCGCACTCTCACTCGGAGGGACATCCTGCTTGATGCTGTTCAAGGGAAGGGTGACTGGAGCGATCGATTCGGCAGGGGACACGGGAGCCGGCGGAGGGGTGGGCGTGTCAGCCTGGTTATCAATCGGGGATGCAACGGATGGGTGCTTGGGTTCGTTTGCTCCTTCAGGGAGCGTAGCCAGCGGCTTCGAGAAATTATTCGTAGGAGACGTCTTCGGGGCTGGTCTGGTGTAGACTAGGAAGGGCAAATCAGTTGCGCGTCGTTGGCGGCGGGGGCCAGTCGAGCCTACCTTCGGGAAACAGGCCGCTGTTGCCGTTCACCAAATGCTTGCCAAGAAACCATCCATCGCCAAATTCATCGTCTCTCTCAATGAGTTCGACTCGGTCGCCCTTGGCCAAGCTCAATTCGTCGGAGCTACGAGCAATGAAGTCGTCTGCGACAAGAACACATCAGCTCAGAGAACGCGGGTCAGGGGGGTGAGTTGTGCTGAAGGCGGGGAGAAGATGAAGCTGCATGACGCGAATGCAGCGGCGGGCGGGACGAGGGCGGCAGGTGGGCTCAGGAGGAGCAAGTCAGTATGGGCGGATAGAGAGGACGGACGTACGTATGACGAGAAGGATATCGCCAACTTCAGGCCTTGGAGCAGCCATGTTGCCGACGATGCCAGGCGCCGCGACAGATGCGGGTGGCGTTTGCTGAAGAGAATGGTTTGTGACGGGATCAATACATAGGAGACGAAGTGCTGGCTGGGCAGCCTGGCCTGGGCTCGAGATGACTTGGGTGCGACGACCGGGGGGCGGAGAAATGCTGGCGAAGGCGAAAAAAAGCGGCAGAAGCCAGGGATTGTCAGTTGTTCGGCAGCTGGGACCAGGTATGGTAAGTGTGCGCAGTAGTGACCGCGCAAGAGCGGATAAGGTGAGGAGTCGATGAGGGTCTGGTGAGATTGATGGCGACCAGGGTGGTAGGGAGGAAAGGGAAGGAGGGAGACAGAGAGGTGTGTAAGGAGAGGAATTCGATGCCGCGACGATGGGCCCCCAAAAGGTGTGCGTGTGTATTGTTGTTGTTATTTTCTGGGATGCTGATGAGGGGGGGGGGGATAATTTCACTGTCTTCACTTTTTTCCCCCTTCCTTCAGTCGCTGGTGCCCTTGTGTTTTTTTCTTCGTTCCCTTCCTTCCTTGGCTCGGCGCTCTTTCCCTTTCGCTCGTGTGAGTGAGGTTGAAGAAGCCGAAAGGTGGGCTGACAGATTGGACACGCAGCCGGCAAGAAAGTGGCGACGAATGCAAATAGAATCGGGTCGTCGGTCGGCAAGGCACGCTGTAAGATCAAGTCCCGGTCTTGACGGCAGACGAGACCAGACCAGACCAGACGGGGAGGTAGAAGAAGTTGGAGGTTGGAGTTGCTCAAGACGGGCGCTGTGAGATGTGATTGGGGGACACTGGATTTGGCGTGGAGTGACGCTATTGGATCATTGCAACGCAAGTGTAAGGCGCATAGACGGTGCTGGGGACGTGGTGGAGGACAGACGAAGGGTGACGGTCCACGTCTGGGTCCAGGAGCCGCTGTCCCGTCCTTTTTTCTTCTTCTCTTGTCGTCCAGTTGCTGCTGTTGATGCTGCTGGGCTGGTGCTGCACGCTGCCTGCAACCTGCACAAGTGTCCTGCAGATTCTGCTGTTGGCTGAGAGGTGCACCGAGGCCGTCCCGTTGACTGGGGGTACCGCCGCACCTTAGTGTCTTCTGTCCAGGGGTTCCTCAGGCTCAGGGCCACCTCGTAATTAGGTGGTCACAATCCCGTTCTCCGAGGCGGATGTCTTGGACAATGTCTTGGATGTCGGATTGGCTGTCGTGGAGCTGCGTGTGTGGTTTGGACTTTGGGAGTCCCCGTGTCTTGCGCCTGGCGAACGAGCTGCCAGACAGAAGTCTAATTGCAGCTGTCGGCCGAATGGACAGCGACTGCGAGTGCAAGATCTCAATGCACTGAATCACAGGAGCAGATGAAGGTCTGCAGGTACCGTACCAGGCGTTGGCCAGGCTGTTGGTCTAAGTGTACCTAGGTAAGAAGGTCGAAGTCCTGTGCTTCAATGCGGTGTCGTGGCCTTGGAAACCAGAGACAACCTGAAATGTCTTGGTATTGGGCCCCAGAAGGAAGGAATGGAAGGACCCCCAAAGAAGGAAGGGGTCGTTGTCGGTGGTGGCCCGTGTAACAAAAGCTGACGATGCTATGCGATGCGATGCAATGTGCGCGAGGCACGGCGGGGGAGAACGGAGGACGACGACGGGGACGGGTGCGTCTGTGGACTGGCCCTGTAGGTAACCTGCCTGGCTGGCTAGACGTACGGATACCGAGCGGTCAGACCGGGCTCAGAGCTGCGCAGAGGAACTGGTGCCGCACGCCGAGCGGACTTGTAGGTCGTCAGGGAGATAATCTGCTGCACGTTATGCGGACCTAGAGGTTTGCGACCTGGAGTGGATGAGATCCCGGAGGGGGGAGACGTGTAGGTGCTATTCTTCTTATTTATTCAGGAGGCGAGGTCGAGGCAAGGAGATGCCACTAATTAGCCAGTTTGAGGCTGTAAAGGGGACGAGAACGCGAGGATAAAGAACAGCCTTTGGTTGAGGATGTGGCTGCCAGAGGCGCCTCAAGCTAAAGTCAACGGGCGCCGGGTGGGGGAGGATGGGTAGACAGTGAGCTACCGGTAGTTGCCCTGGGTAAGATACAGGTACAGCAGAGGCAATTGGCAGACGAGAGAGGTCCTACTTGGGTCACTAAAGCAATTCGGTCTTGTCCGTTTCTCGTGTTATCCCGGCTGGGCAGTCCCTTAAAACCCGTGATAATATGATGGGAAGAGGTGAGATGGAGTGTGCAATGAATGTGTCTGGATGTTGTTCTTGCCGTCCGGAACTGCTGGGGAATCACAAATAGAGTTCGTTGCTGCAAGCCGCAGATGGCGAATGACTTTGCAGATTTGCAGACGGCAGGCAGGTCTTCACCACGGCCTGGCACTATTCCGACTCCTCTGGGTTTTGTTTCGTCCTTCATTTGTTTCCCTGTCCATGATGAACCCGCGTCGTCGTCCGTCCGCCAACTTCAATACCCGTGAACCACTTCATTTCGACGCTCTCGGTGATTACGTCTCCTGCGTTTCTGCCGTTGCTGGGACACGCATGTCCCGGCCCATCCCTTGCGTAAGGTAGATGACCGAACGCATACTGGTGTTCATGTCCGCCCACGATCCCCCGCCTTGCTCCGAGCCATCGGCGTCCTCGAGCCGTCACCGGTTTCGCCATGGCCAAAGACAAGACCGAACACGCACCACAAGACCCAGGTCTACCAGGACTTTCCTCGCGGGTGCACTGCGAAGGATTGCATCTCCCGCGGGCTGGTTCCCCGGCTCCGCAAGGGTGACCTAGAGCACGAAAGCCGGGCCCTCTGCCAGATGAACCAATCATTCCGCCCAAGCACATCGGTTGACACCTCGTCTGCATGGTGATGCTGGCCTCGTCGCTGCATTTCATCTACTTATTTTTTCTGTCATGAGCGCGTCCCGCCGTAATCACGGCAGACCCGCGAAATTGACAAGCCAGGGCACGCTGGAAGGTGTTCAAACTCACGTGTTGACCAGTCTTCAAGTTCCACAAGCCGGCGGCCGAGCAAAGCCTCCAGTCCACAAGCTGTCTGATAATGCAGCCACATCACGTACTCACTCGGAAAAGGTAAAGGTTAGGTACGGGGATGGGGTGGCTGGCTTACCTAATGAGCAGCTTGAATAGAGATTCGACTCTACTCTTGACGTTTGGAGCCCAGATGCATCCAAACCCCAGGTCAAGCAACCAAGCAAGCACCTCAATCGGGGCTAGTAAAAGGGGACCATCGGGGGCGTTTCCCCAACTGGCCAGCTTTCACCGTGATCCGTATGAGATAATAAGGGCCCTAGGATCCGCGGACCCCAACAACAACCAGCCTTCGAGATGGGTATGCGAAAGTGCAAAAATGGCGTGCACTACCTGATGGACCTATAATAGAGTTGTATGGTACTAATGATAGACACGCGAACGCCGAACTGGTGGTGTGCGGTGTCAAGCTAAAGGTGCGGCATCAATAGAAACAAACACCTTGACAAGTCGAGGGCCAGCGAAACAAAGGACACACAAAGAAACGTTCTTGTCGCCACCTGACACTTGCACCGTCTTTATCCCTCACCAATGTATGACTGCACATTGTCAATGATGAACCAAGCCTCGAGAGCTGGGATGTGGACGCAAGGGGGGTAAGAAGTGATTGGGGGCCATACCTTGAGAGAGAAAACAGCTCGAAAATCGTATTGTGTTGCGGGAATCTGGGGCGCAGAGGGAACATTATATTGTGCTCGATATGCTTCCAGCTGCAAGCCATGATTCAAGGTGCGAGAATCCCGTCGAATTCTGGCTGTCTGTACATGCGTACATACAGAAAGTCAATCACATCATAGGTGCTGATTACAACGATGGAAGGAGGTAATGAAGCGGCTGCGTTTGTGACTGGTGGTTCGACGTTATCATGACTCCATATTTACATGTCCATTGAGACGTCCTAAGCATGATGCTTTCTTTTTCCCTACCTAGTCTTGTCCGCAATCACGAAAGTGTCTCGTCGCGCTTCGTCAGAACCCCCAAAATTGGCCTATTGCGTGCAACATGCTAACGGTCTGCAGCAGGTGGGAACATGTGGTCGCCCGAAGGCCAAGTTGCTGAACACCACAGCAAACAGCCATACTGCAACCTTCCATCACCAGCTCTGCCTCCCTCCCTCGGAGTTGGGGAAGCTTGCCGTATATCCGAATGCATACAGAGGCTGGTGCAGGTCACAGTGGGAAAGCTAGATAAACTACTTTTGCATTTTCCCGATGAGATTGACTTTGAATTCGAATGCGGCAGCGCAGGTCAGTGACAGAAATTCGTGATCCCATGTTGAAAAGGGACAGCGCTATGCCCCAATCAGAGCCCGACCCGTCCTGCCCGCGTGCGGCTAGTGCGCAATAGGACTAGAGGACCTCCACCACCTGCCAAGGTCCCCCAGTCGCGGGCAGCATTAGCCTACCACCTCAGCAAACACCATCTCACCTTCCATCCCACCCTAAATCTTACGCTGTTTGACTGTGGCTTTCTCAGCGCCGTGTGAAAGATGGGCTCTCATCGTTTGGGTGCACCGTGCACGTCCGGATACCCTTCGGCCACCACCACCACCACCGCTTCACATTTGGACAGTAAGGCACGGCTGTCTGACATTACCTTACCCGCGTTCAGAATACCTGCCGACGACCATCTCTCCTCACCGACGACCGTCATCCGACGCCGCATCGCCCTAACACCTGCCATCAACCCCGAGTGCACGTTTTGTCTAGATCGACGGTTGAGTGATTTGCGAATACCCTTGGCGCCTCAAACTTCACGATCACCAGGGGGCAGGCGACACGGCCAGTCGTAGCCTCCTGGAAACCCTCAGAACGCGACAAATCCGAGCTCCAGATCGCGAAACCCATCAAACAACCCGTTCGAGAAGCACCTTTCCGAGACGTACACCCACCCGTTGCTCCTGCCCTCTTGGCAAATACTCCCACGGTCTGCAGAGGTATCCAACGCTGGACGAAAAAAAAGGGACGGAAAAGGCAGTCGCTCTGGACCGATTTTTGTCACATTGCGACCCGTGACGGCAACGACGCCAGCCTCGCCTTCCCCCGAATCCATACCTAGGGACTGGCTCTGCTCCTCGCTACTTCCAGACAACATCTGAGGAAACCCGCGTCACTATTGCCTCTCGAAAGACTCAAGTTTCTTCGACGCATCGGGACCTAGTCCTCATGGTGGGCATTCAACCCCCCCTCATCTCATTGCAGCTGTTGACCAAGACCCTCCAGTCTCGTCGAAGGTTCTCGTCCGACCCCGCTGCGTCGTCGCCGCAAACCTCCTGAACGAGCCAACACCTGGGACATGACGCCGCAAGGTGGCCAGCAAGATTCGGTCGGCGGTTTTATGTCAGGCGCGCGCGTCGCTGCCTCGAACTCGACCCTCAACGCCTGGATGGGCCGTCGACAAAAATCGTGGATGACTTCACAAACAACAACGGGCGCTTCACCGTCAACCTCGACCTACCAGCATGAGAAGTCCGGTCGCTTGGGAAGACCACCCTCTCGGTCCCAGCATCCTCCACCACAAGATACCACGAACCCGACCCCCTCGACTCACGACGACGTCTCGCCGCAAACCGCTAGACCCCCTAATACCACACAACCCGATCCTGAGTTCTTGCCTACCTCCGAGCTCGGCAAACAGACACTGTACGCTACCACCCCTCTGTCTACAGTCGATTTTCTTTTCTGACTGTTCATTTGCAGTGATAGTACGGCCGCTCTCCCCTCTCCAGCCCCGACTGATCAACCTAGTCCGCCGACTCCAGTGTCGAACCAGCTTCAGCAGCAGACTCGAGATCAGGACCGTCAAAGCCCCGGTTTTGTTCTTAGGCCAAGCAACATCGCGGCTGGCGTTGCCGAATTCTTTGCGCAACAAGCTGCTGCCAATCGTCCCCCGGAGATCCTAGGCGGAGGAGGAGCGCCCTCTGGACAAGAGGCGTCGAATACGGACGACTATTCAGGATCGATGTTCGCACTCAATGAGAGTGATGTCAGAGATGTCGAGGTTGCTCTTAGCGGTGCTTCACCATCGCTGCAAAACCGATCTGCAACCCAAATACCCGCTCTCCAGAGCCCTGGAATGCAAGAAAGAAGGCCAAGCGCGGCATCAATGCCAGAACCGCAACCTTCGAATCCCGCCGTGCAGAATAGTTCCCCGGCTTCAAGTGTTATTCAACAACCAGTTCCACAGCAAGTTGTTTCTCAGCATGCTGTCTCTCAGCAAGCCGCCCCTCCGCTTCCGCCCGCAGCGCAGAACATCAACCAAGCTGGAATCGCAAACTGTTTACGCCCTGATGTGATGTCTCTTCAGCTCGAGAAGATTGTCCAAACATGTGTTGGCCAAGCGAATTCAACTCCTGATAACACAACAGGGCCTAGACTCAAGCTCCTCAAAGACGCTATTGAAGTGGGCGATTACTTCTACATTGCGTTGCATCAGCTTCTTTGTTCTTGGTCTTTCAGCAGGGAATGGGTAATTCACACTCTTCAGATAGACCCCCCAGTGGCAGATGGCGGCATGAAGGTTGTGCAGAACACTCTCAGAAGAAACGACAACATGGCAAAGGAATTTGTCTTCTTGTTCGCCAACTTCCCTGGGTCACCCAGGTCAGGCTTGTGGAATCTGCCCTTCTATCGACAGCACATCGACAACGTTGGTGTGTTTCTCCGCTGTCTCCACAGCCAGTGGAATCGGGTCTTGATCCCGACTATGAAACCTGACGACGGCAGAGGCTATCCTGTTCTCGCGACTGAGCTGCACTATCAACTGAGGCTTCGGTCTCCTGTGCTCGAGCCTGTGATCTTCACCGTCACACGGAGGCACATGGGTATTGCGGATGGTCCTGTTGCAGACAAGATGCAACAGCTGTTCCAAACGGACCTGAAGACCGACTATTCTAGGATGTCAGAGTCGGATCAGAGCAACCTGAGAGACACGTTGATCAAGCGCTACAAACAACTTGTGCGCGAGTACCGGCAGTCTCAATCTTCTCCCCAAGCACCATCCTTCATGTCTTCAGCACAGTCGATGCCAGCACTAACGGCGCCGACCCCGATGCCTTCTAATGTGGCAATGACGCCGGCCATGGTCAGACAACAGCAGATGATGAACAACGCAAGACGTCTTTCAGCTGGTTATCCCGGCACCCAGCTCGCTGCCCCAAATCTGAATGCTCCTGAAGGGTTCGATATGTACCCATCCCCTGCAGCCCCGGGTAACTTCTCTCCTATTCCGCCGCAATACACCCTTCACAACCAAGGTCGAGTGGCCCAGGTTCGTGGATTGCAGATGCCCATGCCACAAAACATTGCGCGAGCGCCATCAACAGGGTCTCAGCTCAGCCAGCCCCTGACTCCGGCAGGCTCTCCTCTTCATGCCAATACGCAATTGCCGAACACGGGGAGGGTAGTGCAGACCCGAGGACAGACGTCGCCAGTTCTGCAAGCACCTCCTAGCGGGCTTTCTGTGTCGATGCCGACCGTGTCTTCTCCCACGCAGATGACATCTGGTCCCCATAGCCCAGCAGTGAACACACATTCTGGGTTCTTACCTCCCAATGGCTATCAAGGGCCGCGGGTGCCATATCAACAAACGATGCAACAGCAGATGCAAGCACAACAGTTGCAAGCCCAGCAGATGCAAGCACAGCAGATGCAAGCCCAACAGCTGCAAGCACAGCAGATGCGGCAGGCGAATCGTTTCAACTATCAAGTCCCCAGCCAAGTCATGGGGTCAGCATCGCCACCGAACATGGCCATGCCTCAGTTTCATCAGATACCACAGCCATGGCCCCCTCAAGGTGCTACCCAACAACTTTCAACAAGGCCGCTTCAGGGTGCTACTCATCAAATAACACCAAGGCAGGTACACAGTGAATCTACAGGTCTGCCGAGTCCAATACCTTCAAGTATTCGGGGGAGGGCACCAGCGCCGCGGCCCAAAGGCGCCATCTTTCGACCGCCTCATCAACATGTTCCTCTGGATCAGATACCGCATACTCCGCACGAACCGAAGGCTTTGGCCAATTCTCTACACCAGGTCGACGTCCGAAGCCCTAGACGAGTGCCACGAGAACTCCCCATGAAAGATGACCCGATGCCCCCGCAAAGACACTATCAATCTGTCAAAAGTCTAGCATTGGGCCCCGTGGCAACAACCCCTCGCTGGGAGTTGCACAAATTCGATTTTATGGTTCCAGATGGTGTCTTTGACAGGCTCTGCACAGATCGTTTCCCGATCGGCCAGCAGATTCCTGTTTCGCAATACTTCAACGGCTCTCTTCGATATCGTCTCCGTCTCTGCGCCATACGTCTGAAGCCAGGCCAGGAAACAGTACCAGAGGCCGCTTGGGCCGTGGCCCCCACGTATTGGCCCGATCACATCTCCGTCGTGGTCAACAAAAAGGTCATGAAGATTCGTCGCAAGCAGCACAACGGCCAAGACCAGCCTGTGGAATTGACAAGACATCTTTGTAGAGGGAGCAACGCTATATCTGTCAGCATAGCCCCCCAAGCTTGTGCGCGGAAGGCGGCAGACACGACCTACTTTATGGCTGTCGAAATCGTCGAAACCCTCAACCACCAGGGCATCTTCAATATGGTGACGCTTAGAGGCGTCATACCTGTTGACTCAACCAGAAAGCTCATTCAGAACCGTCTGAAGCCTCCACAGAACGACGGGGATGATGAGCTGGCTGTTGTGGGCAGCGACCTCAGTATTGATTTAGCCGATCCATTCAGCTCTACCATATATGAGATTCCAGTGCGCGGCGCCGCATGCACGCATTTGGAGTGCTTCGATTTGGGGAATTGGCTGAACAGCAGGCCGTCTAAGCCCATGTGCACATCCCACGGTAACAGCTGCAACCGGCCCTGTGGCGGTGGTGAACTTGGCCCCGAGCCATCGCTGGTGGACAGATGGAAGTGCCCTGTTTGCGACGGGGATGCTCGGCCTTACAGCTTGATGATGGATAGTTTCATGGCGGAGGTGCGGAAAAAGCTAGAGGCTGACGGGAAGCTCCATACGAAAACGATATTTGTGGCAGCGGATGGGACGTGGAGGCCAAAAGTGGAAGAGGCCGGAGATGACGAGGACGACGATGCAGAGGGTGTTCCTGGAAGGCCGCCAGCAAAGCGCGCGAGGACTGGGCCGTCGCCCGCTGAGGCACCGGCGATTGAGATCATTGAGCTGGATTGAGGATATGCATAAGTTTGAGGCCATTTTGGCGTGGGATTGCTAGCGGCATACGGGACACGGCGTTTATGAATCCCATCCTCAGACGAGGCACTCGGGATGGAGTTTGCTTTTTGCTATGGCATCGGGGGTGCCGAAATGATACCACCTACAACATCTGGGCATTGTGGGAATACGCAGAGGTGATTGAGCCTCGATGAGGATTGAAAGATTCATGTTACTAGTTTTGGCGCCCTGTGCACCGGGATGGTCGTTCCAGAGGGACACAGACGATGTTCCTTCGGGACAGAAGCGGAGGGGACATGGGCAGTTATCACAGCGACAGTAGGAATAGACCGATCAGCGCCATATCCGAAGTGGACGGTATTTGAATGTTCTTCATTTTGTGAAAGTTATCAGCCGGAAGCTCGGGATAGCCAGGCAGTTCGGGTTGGGTGCACGTCTCATGACCAACGGAACGCCAAAGATTTGGCAGCGGCGTCTATTTAAGGTGCGACCGAGGTCGGCAGCGTCGGCAAGAGCAGGACCGGGACTCCCTTAAGTTAGGTCGGGTCGGGCAGACAGTGCAGCAGTGCAGCAGTGCTCCAATCCAAGAAACGGTAGCGATTGGACTAAATCCCCATGACATCAGCCCTGCCAGACTTCACTTGCCATGTTTCCTCGGATTGAATACATGCCTACAACTACGCAGTATCTGTAATTGTCAACTCATCGAGCCAATTGTCACAGTGTTGCGTCGTCCGTTCCTCTGCGCTGCGACTGCCCAACTTTGCCGAGGCCCGTACATACCAGGCACGTTTGACATCTAGGGTGCCTGCTCTCGTAACATCCAAACATCCATTAGCTTCACTGCTTCAGACGAGCAGCTTGAAGCTTGCGCCTCACAGCGTCCCATCCTGAGTCCCTGAAGTCTCTGGCCCCGAGGCAGGTCAGCCAAAGCAACCATACAACTGCGACGGGTTTCACGCCCTTCCATCAGCTCCGGCAACGAGGCTTGGTGAGAGAGAGGCTGAGCCACGCGTCTACGTCGCCTCTCAAGCCCTCACGCAGGGTGTCAAAAATCTTGGCTTTGTTTGCCGTTCCGACGACCCTCATTCCAATTTCAGGGACGTCGTTTTGAATCGAACCCAACCTTTTTTTTTTTTTTTTTCTCCATTCCCCTCACCACACAATTAACTCTATGCGCCTTGGCTATCGGACCTCACTTTCGACACACTCCAACGACCGCGAAAGAAATACCTAAGAAAAGGTCCACCCCACTCTGCCCCTCCTTAGGTACCTTACTTGCCGACTCGCAAACAAAAAGCTATCGCTCGGGTGCGGTGCGCTCATTCCAGGTGAAAGGACCTGTTTGAGACCATTTTCACTCACCGTCGTTCGTCGTTGATACTATTGACGTTTGGGGGATCACCAGCCACATCATTCTGCGACGGAATAGAAATTAGGCGACCGCAGACCACTCAAAAAGTGGACTGAGCGGACACCATGTCGATCCGCATAGCGCTCGACAACCAGCCCGAGTTCTACACCAATCTCGACAACCTCGCTGGCCGCGTTGTGTTGCATCTCAGCCGCCCCGAGCAGATTGGTGGCATCATTGTCAAGCTCGAGGGCGAGTCCAAGACGGCCCTCGGATTGCCTCAGAATTACGATGACCGCACTCACCCGCGCCTGCCGCCCGGAGGCGGCCCCGGAAGTATCGCTAGCGAGAACCACAAGATTCTCTACCGGGTAGCGCAAGTCTTTCCAACCTACGAGGAAGATCTCGGCGGCGGAAGCTCCTCTATGAGCGGGAGCTACGTCATCCAGGGCGGCCAGCATGAATTCCCCTTCAAATTCAAGCTCCCCATCAACAATGCCTGCAGCGACCCCGTCGCCATGTCCAAAATCGGTGGTATCGGCGGCATGGGGGGCTTCGGTGCGGGCATCGGTCCGTTCGGACTCGGAGGTGCCAGGGTTATGGACGGCAGTAAGCAGCTGTTCCTCCAGCATGTCACGAAGACCCTGCCTCCGTCGTTCACCGGCTTCCCTCGGCAGGCAGAGGTGCGCTACTACCTCAAGGTCACCATCCAACGGCCAGGCTTTCTCAAGGAAAACTGGCGGTACCAGATTGGCTTCAAGTTCATGCCCATAGAGCCGCCCCGGCCTCCGAAGACGTCTCAAGAAGCCTACGCACGTCGGCCTTTCACCTTCAAGCCGCGACCTCAGGGTCTGCAGAAGAAGAAGAGCTCCCTCTTTGGCTCCGGCAAGGACGACAGCGCACCTAGCAACGGTGACGCTGTTCCCCCGTCCATTGAGCTCTCTGCGCGTTTACCCCATCCCTCGATTCTGACCTGCAACCAACCTCTCCCGCTGCGTCTCATCGCCAAGAAGCTCATACCCTCACACGAACAAGTCTTTCTCACCTCAATCCAAATCGAGCTGATCGGCAAGACTCATGTCCGGTGCCACGACCTCTTTAACACGGAAGTAAGCAGATGGGTCGTCGTAACCCAGACAGGCCTCAGCGTGCCCCTCCTGGACAACCCGACCTCGGACGACCTCCACCACGAGTCCATCATCCCAGACGACCTCTGGCGCAACATCCCGCTACCCAACACCGTTGCACCTAGCTTCGTCGCCTGCAATCTCCAGCGACACTATGAACTCGACATCCAGCTGGGTCTCTGCTGGGGCAAACCGCCATCCACGCGAACGTTCTTGGGCTCGAACAAGGAAAACCCCGCCGCGCAGTCCATTTTCCTCCCGTTGCATTTCTCCAAGGTTCAAGTATACTCTGGCATTGCGCCACCGCCGCAGTTGCTCGAGGCTCTAGCAGCACAAGCCAATCGGCCGTCCGCGGCAACAATGAGCCTGCCTCCGAGATTACCGCCTCGTACTTCACAGTCTGCACCCATCACCCATACCATGGGCCGTGGCCAGCAGCAAAGGCCTCAGGCGCCTCAGCAACCGCACCCACCGGCCGCGGCAGCACCGCAGTATGACCCATTATACCCTCCCCAGATGGGAACACCGGGTGCTGCGGCGTTCGACGACGCACCGCCGAGTTACGACGAGGCACTGGCAGCAGGGGCAACAGGACCAGAGGAGAGACCTGCGTACAGCGGCGTTACGAACGAGAATGCCCCGAGTCAGATCCCCGAGAAGAGTTAGCCTACGGTTTTTGCATGGAGAAATTGGGCGCGGGAAGGTTTAGACAGAGGGTTGGGTTTAATGATTAATGACCGGAGAGCGGTGACGGATGGACGAGACAAGACAGCGACGCCATCACAGACAGAGTTCAGAAGGGGGTTTTGTGTTGCCTGGGTGGTTTAAGCTTTACTATACCTTGAGATGAGTCCATGGGCTCGCCTAGTCCATGAATAGATTGAATTTTTCTTCATCCTGAAGAAGCCAGTGTGAAGTTGGACGTCTGGCATAGGGCAGATAAACAGGAGTTGGCAGCCCATGATGGAGACAAGACAACTTGGAGGTGTCAGCTCAACAGCTTGCCGAGGCGGGCAAATCCCTGGTCAGCCATTGCAAGCCTGCCAAAAGAGTGCCGTGATGCCAGCTGACCAACATGCACCAAAGCCAGCTCAGGTGCGCCATGCAGACTTGGTTTCTTCCCATCCACGTCGTTCAGAACACGCACACGCCCAATGGGCTTTAGGAACACGCAAAAGTCCGCCGCAGGTGGCGTAGCGGACCGCCTCGGGAGGATGGCCCTCCCCGTCTGAATACGGCAACCCTCGCCCGCCCAGTCCGAGATGTGATTCAATACAAGAGGAGATGTCAAATCAGAGGCGGAGGGCGGGCTCGCGATGCGATCGCCCGTTGTCCGGTCCAAAGATCTACGAGATCTTCCAGGCACGCACCGCACCTACATGGCCACACCGACGACGACGACGACGACGACGACGACAGCGAAAGCAAGCAAGCAAGCCACCCCTGCTACCAACAGATGTTGAGATGTGATCACATATGCTCTGTCTTGCACATTCCGCATACGGATATTGCCCACGGAAGGAAGATTCGCAAGGAACGAGAAAAAGGTGACTCAATCAAGCTTCCCGTCGGCATAGACGCCGGCCGTCGTGTGTGGATGAGGCACAGCGCGGCCAATCAGGGGCTGACAAACGTACATATTGTTGTTTGAGCGAGAGTGGAGGCTGGGGTTTGGGGGTTGGGCGGGCGTGTTGGTGGTCAGTATGTTGTTGGTTCGAAGCCCACTGTGTGCTGTGCTGTGTTGTATGCTGGAGTTGGAATCTTGCCTGGACGTAATTTTTTTTTCTACCAGGGTTAGATGCAGGCAGGGTTACGCGTGTGTTAACCTACCTTGTTTGGTCTGGGTTTTACGACCGGACTGGAGTGACTGGTCATGGTAATGGCAATGGGCGGTGTTGGTGTTGTTCTTCGGCTGTGATGAATTTGCGAGGTTCTCGGTCAACATCCATCTGTATTGGTGCATTCTATCCGGGGATGTTCCAATGGTGCAAAGCTCATTTCGCTGGGCTTGGATTTTGCCAATTGCTAATCATTCAGATGGATGACCTACCCACGCTCGATGCTATTGACGCTCTCTTAGTTACACATGTTCAACTGGAAATCGAAGAAATATCACAAGATAAGCATTCCTCCTCTTACACCTAGTGACGCTTTTGACACCTCACAACCCCTCCTTGGCCAACATATCCGCGATATCTAGGTAGAATGCAACAGCGTTAAAGGTCCGCGTCTGTCCCATCAAGACCTTCCTCACCGTCCACCGCACCCGGTTGGACCAATTGATCAGGTCGAGATGGCTAACGTCGACCAGCGTGCCCTTGTAGTCGCCCCACTGGCTGCTCGCAACGCTAACCAACCCGTCGTTGGCGCCCTCGACCTCTTCCAGGATGCGATGGCTCTGCCGGAACGGACTGAGGAGCGGGGGCGTGCTCGTGCATGCACCGTAGCTAAAGTACCTCACCTTGTCACTGTCTGGAGTCTTGGGGTTGAACTCGCCCTCCATGTACTCCCGCGTC